GCCAGAGCCTTTTGGGAGCATTTCGTGGTGACATATGCACTGCTTTTTTACCCCAGAAATTCGTAAGGGACGAGGAAAAATCCCAGACTGCTGTGTAAATTTGACCGATCAAACTCAATACTTCCAACGGCATGGCGGTTACGGACGTATATGGTAGCACTGGGGACAAGAATCTTAAGCAGTAATACCTGAGTGACGGGCAGTTTCTTATCTAAACCAAGATATTCAGTGAATTAACTTGAAAACATTATTGTGGAACGTGGGATGAGGGTGCCAAGCGTACCTGATGAAGCGCTGTAGCAGTCAGCAAGATGTCAAAATGCAGCTGGAAGACATCACATTTGGCTTTAATTTAAAATTTATTCATCATGTCACAAAATAAATATATACAAATAAGTGGTAACAAAATGAAAATAACAACGATAATTGTAATAAAAATAATAATAGTAACAGTTTCTATACAGGTGAGAATCCAAGGGAAGATTGGGTTTAAGGGAGTAGGAAGGGGGCTTTTTACCGCCTGTCTCTACCACATATTTCTTAGGCATCATTCTCATACGCTTACAGCCCAGTCAATCCTAGCTATGTAAAAAGAAACTGCAGAAATTTAGCACTGTCTGATTTTGGCGGTGCCTTTCATAACCCCCTCCATGACACCGAAAGTTTGACGAAACGTCTCACATTGCAGGAACACACCAAAAACAGGTTTTCAGGTTATGTTCTTGAACCAAACCTCGACGATAAGCTATTTGAGTGCAACAGAAACGTGAGATTGGTACCGGTATCAAAGCCCGCGACAAACGGTAATCAGCGATCGAAGTGCAAGGCTAAATCTACAACGCAGCAGAAATCAGGCGAAATGTCGGAAAGCACATCTGAAGAGGATGATGAACCAGAGGAACTGTATAAGCCAGCGCCTATGAAAGAAAGAAATTCACAGGTAGTTGGAGGGAAATGAGCACTGAAGCGATAGTATCTGTATGTATTGACAAATATGGGTTCATTCATGACCAAGTTTTATTCGCACGATTTTGTTTCCTATAGTTTCACTTTTATAGAGTCACGAAAAGAACCAAGTCATATTCCCAAGAAACTTTTTTTTTTTCAAGATGATAGCTAGAAAATCGTTATTTACAACGAAATTCCAACTGAAAAGAATCAAAATCGTGGGGAACAGTACTAGTTTATTTTTCTTTTTTTTTTTTTGCTGTACATTGAGTTGAATAAAACATTGTTTTTTTTTTTTTTTTTTTAAGAAAACAGTGTAATGCAGAAATGCTCCAACTGAAGACACAGCAACATGCGAAATTACTTTATTTTGACAATACTAGTTAACGCGAAAGATTTCCTTCCGCATAAACCAAATAAACAATTCCCGTTATCCGAATACATATGGATTCTTCTGGGGCGGTATTTTGACGCGCGGCGCCACACTTAGCACTCCCAGGCTTTCACCGTACTTGTTCCCATACCACACTGAAATTTCCTCCTTACCATTAGAAAGCCCTTTTCGATAAAGGTGGCAAGACTTATTACCTTTCAAAGTGACAAGACCCTGGCAAGACTTATTACCTTTCAGAATTATCAGAAGTCTCCGCATACACCGTTCATGAGAGAGGGAGTCCTCGTTAAGAAACCTCGCGTGAGAGCAGGCGCCAAAAGCAACAACCCTTTGACAAAGTTTTGGTGTCTCCCTTCGCAGTGGGCTGTTTAAAAGTAAGCTGATGGCAAAACTGGTTCCTTAGTATGCAGCAGTGTCGATTTGCCAAAAAGCCGTAAAAGGGGAAGTTGAAATCTCAACGTTCAGCAAGAGGGAGAACTACTTACCACTGGACCAAACCCACCAGTTTTTCTGAAACTGTAGGACTGTAATATTCGAATCTAGGTTCAAACCCATGAGCTCTTGGCTCGCTGTTGCTACCAATTTATAAAGCTCCCCTCATTTTCACCTTCGAAAATGCTCCAGAAATGAGTTGGATGGGGTTGCGCGCGCCGTATGTCGGACATTTTGGTAGCAGTACGCTATCGAGACGAACTTCACTGAGCTCTCTGCGCCGTTTTCTAGTCAAAATTCGAGCTTGCAAAGAAGATACAAAGGCTCCTACTGGCCAGAGACACTATTTGAAAAGAGTTACCAAGGAGTTCGGTACCATCACTAATCGGTTTGAAGACACGATAGTAAACTGAACCGTTGTACTGAAAAGCGATCAGATTTTGCTCCTTCTGAACTGAAACATTTTCAAGTTGAAAGAAGAAAATGCAGATATCTTTAACCAACTTACGATTTTAAATAGCTAAATAAAAATCATATTCTATTTATCAAAAGTTAATTTGTCTAAGAAGCGGAAATACTGGGAAACAGCTGCGTGGCAGAACCTCCTAGTAAGGTTGAAGACGGTTCTCTCAGAGCTTGACTAGACGCAAAACAGTAAAAAGCACCCGGTATTTTTCATGGTTAGAGATTTTTGAATTCAATTCGTACCCCTATCCCACAGCTCCAAGAGCAAATTTTCAAGTACGAAGAAATAAAAAAACATGCCTTACTACTCCCTACGGTCACCTTTTATTCATTTCATTAGGAAGTACTGTAAAGTATGCTGTTCTCATTATAAAATTATGTATTTTTTTCTCTTTTCTCTTTTTGGCCTAAGAGTCGGAAATTCCATTTGCATTCCTGTGTGTTTACAATTTTCTGCGTTTTCTTCCTTTTTTTTACACCTGTAAAAAACTGATTACATATTCGTTCCCTTTATCCCGTTTTACTCGTATTTGGAATGCGCTTGCATCCCCAGCCGTTTTACTTTTGTTATTTTTCCTTTCAATCCCTCTTTTTAACCCCCCTAAAAACCCATATTTCCATTTCCCCTTTTCACATTCCCTTTACCTTAATTACCATTTTCACATTTTCAACACCTCCAAAAAACTATCACGTTCTCTGTTGGGGCGGTCCTTACACCCTTTATAAACCTCCCTACCAGTCTCCGTGGCTCAATTCCTCCTTCAGTTTTACGACGGCCTTCAGTCTCCTCAACGACATCATCCCCGACTCTTCAAGGTTTTTGGGACTCGACTTCGTTTGGAACACTTCTGGACCTCATCGACCATTCTCCGCTATAACAACTCTTGCTCGGCAAGCCCACAGATTCGATAGATTCCAAGCGCCATACTTCGTGCTGTTTACGCGATTCATCATCAGTAAGTCATAAACTTGATTTTGCTTCTCTACAGTACGCATACGCTCAGAGCACCACGCCACACAGCGATCCACGCAGGTATGCACTCATCTCATAAAAAATTTTTACTGTACTTTCAGCAATCACTCGGCCTAGGGCAAACCACTTCATCAAAAGTATGCGTTTTGAGCGATTTTCACCGAGACCCATTTCAAACTGATTTGTATTTTCTCTTGCTTTTCTATATTTAAGTGCATGACTTATCTTTATGAAAGTATGCATATGTCCTGTTCGCTAAATAAATAAACGAAGTGAAAAAAAAAAAGATGAAAATGTTCCTCCTTTGCGCATCGTTTGATGGGCACATTGCCCACAAGAACTACTCTAAAAATTTAACTAACTCTCAAAAAACAGGGATCGTTGCTTACACCTCGAACTGTTTATATAGCGCATCCAGTTCGAGTATTGTGGGTCGCTGCCGTCGATATACTGCGAAGGCCGTCCGCTGATACGGATCTCCCAGGAATAGCCGTTCTGGTCCGCTTTCTTTGGATCCGTCAGTAATATACCTGGAAATTGCTTGTGCTTGAAAAACAGTATGACTGCCGTAGTACACCAATATCAGAAGTGTTACCTTGGTAGGGACCAAAGACCAATCCTATTGGTATGTCCATTTTCGCAAAGACGCCGAGCCCCGCTTTCGGAATTTTTGATGTTTTTATTTCAAAAAAAGCGGGCAGCGTCTGCTCTGCACGTGGCTTGTTCTCCTCGCGCACCTGAAATGCCTTCCTGGAGCACGGCAGAATTTCATCTTACCAATTCCACTGGAAGGCCAACTGCCGTCTACTGCGCTCGTTACAAAGTGAAGCCCATATGCATGCTACATTTTTATGCGTTTTGTGCTGTGTAACAGCAGTACAAAACGCATATTGTCACGGGGTTGTCCATGTGTGTGTGTGTGTCCGCAGCAACTTGTCCGCAACTTTCAACTCGAGAATCACAAAAGCTAGGAAGCTGAAAATTTAAGGGAACGTTCCCCACCCACGCGTGACCCCGCAAATTTA